TATTCAAACACATTTAATATTCATAAGGAGTTTGTATGAAGTAGCCGTTGTGTGTGCCTAACCGGTAGATCAACAGCGACTGTCAATACCGACGTTATTGTCATGTTTCGAATCTGATATATTTGACGGCTATCATGGAACAAATGAATGGACAGTTTAGGTAACAGGAGCCACCTTCCACAACACTGCATGAGACCTGTGGAGAATAATTGAATTCTACCAAAAACTGTGAATACCCGAAGGAAGCTGTTTTTCCAACATGACTATAGCTTCACTAAACCATTTCTGTAAAGAAAACCTTAGCTTAATTGTAGGACTTTTATGAATAATTATAAAGACAAAATGAATAATATATCATCAACAACATCATTTGTTCTGATTGTAAAAATTCAGTGGGGAAAGACCGAAATTTGAACCCTGGAGCTCCGATTGTTTTATTATCGCTCTAACTGACTGAGCTAACTCAGGTCAACAAAAGTATCTTGGCACAACTTTAAGGGGAGGTAGCTGTATACAATGTATACTTTAAGGGGAGGTAGCTGTATATAATGTATACTTTAAGGGGAGGTAGCTGTATACAATGGATACTTTAAGGGGAGGGAGCTGTTTACAATGTATACTTTAAGGGGAGGTAGCTGTATACAATGTATACTAAAAACCACAAAGCACTGGGACATGGATCCTTAATATGGCCATGACTCGGGACACATTTATCTCTTAAGCAACATTATGTAGCAGTAACTGTTTTACGTTGCTGTATTGAGCTGCTCACTGAGCATGAGTTTTAACTGGTATCCATCAAGGAGCAAAAGAATATATAATATTAATATCTGTTTACAATGTTTCAATTATTATTGAGGTACAATATTTAGGAATTTTTTCATCAATATCTAATTATACTTGAAAGCTAATTTTGACTTGACCTAATGTTTTCTTGACCAGAGTTGGATTGGTGAGTTTACAGCTGTGTAAACACTGATAACACCAACAACCAGGTTAAGATGCACACTTATAGCTCTGTAAACAACAGGTCAGATATGTTAAATGGTTATCTTATAAAGTTGAAATGAAACAGGCCATAAGATAGGGTCATGAAATACAGGTCACCAGATACAGGCCACATGATACAGGCTACAAGATACAGGCCACATGAAATACAGGTCAACAGATACAGGCCACATGATACAGGCTACAAGATATACAGGCCACATGAAATACAGGTCAACAGATAGAGGCTACAAGATATGTGTCATGAGATACAGGCCACAAGATACAGGTTATGAGGTACAGGTCACCAGATACAGGCTACACGATAGGGGTCATGAGATACAGGGATACAGGTCAATAAAAATCACCAGATAGCGGCCATACAGATACAGGTTAAAATAGATACAGGTTGTGAGATAAAGAGATACACAGATCAGTAGATACAGGTCAATTTAGATACAGGCTACAAGATACTTGTTATGAGATACAAGGATACAGGTCACTTTAGGTACAGGCTACAAGATACTTGTCATGAGATACAAGGATACAGGTCACTTTAGGTACAGGTTACAAGATACTTGTTATGAGATACAAGGATACAGGTCACTTTAGGTACAGGCTACAAGATACTTGTCATGAGAAACAAGGATACAGGTCACTTTAGATACAGGCTTCAAGATACTTGTTATGAGATACAAGGATACAGGTCACTTCAGGTACAGGTTACAAGATACTTGTCATGAGTTACAAGGATACAGGTTACTTTAGGTACAAGTTACAAGATACCTGTCATGAGAAACAAGGATATAGGTCACTTTAGGTACAGGCTACAAGATACTTGTTATGAGATACAAGGATACAGGTAACTTAAGGTACAGGCTTCAAGAAACTTGTTATGAGATACAGGGATACAGGTTACTTTAGGTACAGGTTACAAGATACTTGTTATGAGATACAAGGATACAGGTCACTTTAGGTACAGGCTACAAGATACTTGTCATGAGAAACAAGGATACAGGTCACTTTAGGTACAGGTTACAACATACTTGTCATGAGAAACAAGGATACAGGTCACTTTAGGTACAGGTTACAAGATACTTGTCATGAGATACAAGGATACAGGTTACTTTAGGTACAGGTTACAAGATACTTGTCATGAGAAACAAGGATACAGGTCACTTTAGGTACAAGCTTCAAGATACATGTACTTATTATGAGATACAAGGATACATGTCACTTTAGGTACAGGTTACAAGATACTTGTCATGAGATACATTAGGATACAGGTCACTTTTGGTACAGGATACTAAGTCATGAGATACCATTTATCATGTCATAAAGGTCAAATGTCAGGCAGGCTACCAGATATATATCACAAAGTTCAGGTTGTGAGTTCATTAAGTCACAAGATCAGGTCATGAGTAAAAGGTCATGAGTAACAGGTCACAAAATACAGATTGCAAAACATAGGTCACAATTTTGTCTGGGATTTTTCAAATTGTTACTTTGGATATATTCTGTAGATTTTAATTATAAGCATTTGTTCATGAAAGGATATTTTTTTCCAATACATGTATATTTCAATTCCTTAGCCTGGAGATATGTGAACATTACATCAATTTCACAATATGGATGTATACATATTTCCACTTAATGTGATAAAAGAAATATAAAAGTTTATCAAACAACTGCGGGTTACATCAGTACAGTGTATTTTAAGACCACAGGGTCTGTTTTTTATAACGATGAATGTAATAATATGTAGGGAATGTGAGTTATGCTATTGGAGGGTTCAAAAGTGTTAGTTCATGATGGACGTGCCATTCTTCTTTCAATATTGATTTAAATGACTTTTTTAAACACAGATAGAACACTTAATGGCCGACAAGCAGATGTCTGATAGTTAGAATCACGTGACTGTTTTACAGTGATATTCTCCACCATATCAATTAACCCAATTCCACTATCACCATCATCATAGTTGGAATTGTTGAATAAGGACAAACATATCAATGGGGTCATCTCTCATCACAGGACAGATAACAAAATATAAAAAAAGGATTGTCCCAACTGTCAGCCCCTCGTCGATGTTGACAACACGCAGAATCTCCCAGTGGGGTATAACAACTTTTTTAAGTTTTATTGGAACTTTAGGCCATTGGCCCATCAGTATACAATACATATTATACACAAATCATGGACAATGTACAGATAATGAAGGCAATTGTTTGCCTCATAGATGAATTTCCTAGTATACACAATTCTTTAATATTATGGACACTCAATAACTGAACGGCTTTAAACACATATGGTTTTTTCCAATGATAGCTTTTGATAAAACGTGATCTGAGATTTTGGAATTTAGAACAGACTAATAAAAAATGAAATTCGTCCTCTACTTCAGAGGAGGAGTTGCATGATGTCATGTAGCTAGAAGAAATGGGTTGCTAATTCCCAGTAGTGAGGATTTAAAGAATTGTCATGTTAAATTCATATCAAACAGGTCATTCAAATATTTATAGTCGATACGTTCTCTTTAAATATTCATTGAAACAAAGTGTAGATTTCTGTTAAATCTCCGGGGCCTCCACATAAAATGTGTAAACAGTGCTGACAAGGCCTGATGAACAGATAGATGCACTTTTGTGATCAGAGAATAAAAATATGTGTTAATGATGATGTTGGGTAACATGCGTGTATGTTGAATGAGAAAATGTGTTTGTTGAGGTTGCTGCTATAGTAGAGTACCGGTAACAGGACCAACAAAACATTACTGTAAATAAATACACTTTAGTGCACAGGTGCTTTTTGAGAATAAAAAAAATGAAATGATCAGAGAATGAAAGTAAGTGTTTATGATGAAGTTGGGTAACATGCATGTATGATGAATGATGATAAGTGTTTGTTGAGGTTAATGCTATAGTAAAGTAACAGGACCAAAAAATGGTTACCGTAAATATATATATTTTTAATGCACAGGTGCTTTTTGAAAGTAAAATGGGGGAAAAATTGAGAGGGAGGATGGTAGCAGGCTGGAAAAATAGTACACTGCCAAGTAAGTCATCGACTCAATAATGTAGATAAACTAAATAAACACACCTTGCACGGAGGTGATTAATTTTGTTATACAAACAGATCACACTAAGCCTTATCATTAATTAATTTGTACCCTTGACCGTGGTATCAGAATCTGTACCCTTGACCGTGGTATCAGAATCTGTACCCTTGACAGTGGTATCAGAATCTGTACCCTTGACCGTAGTATCAGAATCTGTACCCTTGACCGTGGTATCAGAATCTGTACCCTTGACCGTGCTATCAGAATATGTACCCTTAATCGTGGTATCAGAATCTGTACCCTTGACTGTGGTATCAGATTCTGTACCCTTGACCGACTACTATTAGAATCTGTACCCTTGACTGTGCTATCTGTACCCGTGACAATGTTATCTGTACCCGTCTGTACCCTTGACTGTGGTACATTTTATCAGAATCTGTACCCTTGACCGTGGTATTCAAAGGTACTTCAGGAGTTTGCCGAGCTATCCGAATTGTTTTGAGTGCCTAAGTCGGCCTTCTTATTTAACACTCTGTGGTCTATGATAATGGTGTCAGCCTCTGATCTAATCAAACAGTGGTTGACCACTTACTCAGTTTAAATTCTCACAACACACAAACAATTCAATGGAACCTGCATTTCTCTTATGTCGATTGATTTCAAATCATTCTTTGCCCAATGGATAAGGTCTGCTATTACTAATACACAACTACTTTATAGCCAACCTTCCCCTTGCGCTGTATCTACATATGTTTCAACACTTCTTACATGGAATTTCATTCTTTTAACCTTTACCACTTTGATGTAACAATTGTGATGACATCATGATTATCACTCCAAAGTTATGGTGCTGCCCTATAAGTACAGTAAAATAAGACCAATCTAAGGGAATATAAACAAATTAACGGAAATGTATCAATTTTATACCTTTAACAATCAGATGATACGTCTGGAATCTTTTTTATTTTAAATTCTGATAGTTTCGTTTACACCTTTGGCAGTCAGCATGGCATCTTTTGCCATGTTATCATGATTTTTTCGTAAAGTGTTGCATTTCCCTGATTTCCTCAAGCTCTGAGGAAGTAGACAACAGAACTTTTCGTAACAGATTGAGCGGAACTGTCCGTCACCAACGATGTATATGATGGGGTTGACGACATTGTTAATGAAATATGATCGATAGAGGAGGGGAAGAACCCCCAGAACCAGTTGACTCGGGGCTAGCAAGTTTTTTGTCTGCTTCATAGTCGATAGGGTTGTAATTACAAAATGGGGAAGGTAACTTATCAGAAATGCAGCAGAGATCGCCATCATGATTTTGGTGACTTTTCTACTTCTACGCAGGAGTCTTAAGCCTCTGTCACTGCCAGTGTGGGCTGGCTGTGTAGAATGTCTGTATAAACTCCTTACAATGAGGGAATACAGAATGATCAGTAACACAAAACTCACAAGGAAAATCACTAGTTGAATTATAGTATAAATGAATGGTATTTTGGTATTTCTCACAGCATCTGCCACAGAGCAGTCATGGCCGGTGATATTGCCAGGGAAATGTTCCATAATGGTGCCACTTATGACTGCCTTAGGCCATGAAATCAGAAGGGTAAGACCAATGGCACAGCCACAGTAGAGGTGAGAGAGTTTAGGAGGTGCACCACTGAAACCCGGACCACAGACGCGGCGGTGACGCTCAATAGCCATCAATGTTATAACAAAAGCTGAACCAATCTTTGCCACATTGCCAATGAAACGTTGTATCTTGCAGAATGCGTCACTGTAAAACATGTATGGCCAGTAGTTGTCAACCAATTCTGCAGGCATACTTACACAGCAAGCCAACATGTCGAGTACAGCCAAACATAGGATGTACAGTCTTAGGTCTGAACGACTGTACCTAAATATGTACACAAATATTACCACACTGTTGCCTAGGACACCCAGGATGATGAGAACACATAAATACACAACTGTTGGCAATCTTTGTTGGGACTCCAGTTGAGATATTTCCAGGAGAGATAACACTTGAGTCATGTTGGCAGACATTGTTGCTTGTTGTTAATAAAATCATCACCTGTCCATTCTTTTATAGTAGGCTTGAATACCTTGGTCAGTCATAATATATTTGAAGGTGTTCCTCAGTTCGATAGATATCCTATTGGCATCGTGTACATCCTTACCTATTATTTTTTTTAATCTAATGTTAGTGTTTAAGAAGGATCCCTTCGTCCTTTGGTTGCTTTGTGTTAATTCTATCTATGAGCTTTCCTTTCAGTCTTGAAGGGATCACTGCTGAAAAAAACCCAAAGCCATATACATTAGAAACTGTCAATGGTATGGTGGCACCACTACTCTTTATAGTGCATGGTAACTCAAATAGAAACGTATTGGCAATACAGCAATTGTTACAACAGGTAATATACCGGTATACAAAAAAGCTCTCCTTTGAACCTGTCCTTAAGGCCTACATGAGCCCTATCACAGTAATTAATGTCTAATTATAATAGGTTTATTAATTATCAAAGTCATCCTAATCACTTGTACTTGACTGACGCTGGTGATAGGGTAAATGTTATATGGTACATACGATCTGTGTATAACGGGTGATTACATCTACTTCTGTCTACATACACCGACTTCTCTCCCAGATGCTGTAACTAGACTAACCTACACTCTAACACATGTGTAGGTCGGGAACCTGTTAATGTGATTGGCCAAGTCTTAAATCTCTTTGTCATCCTGCTGCGTACACTTATCACATTACTGCGGATAAATACCTAATGTCATTTCATTATTAGAGATACATCCAGTTGAGACTGGTTTGTTGGCTAACACCGATTCCTTCTCTACCCTCCCCCAACCCCTCTTCCTTCCCCCACTCCAAGCATACTTCATTTTTGGTATTCATTTCCGTTCAAGAAAAAGAAAAAAAAGAAATCAAGGAAGATGATATGGTGATGGAACACTAATACTTTCCATCTGATTTTACAAGCAGAAAGCTAGTTTCCTTGGCTCTAATTTTGGCTCTGAAAAAACGTACCTATTTCCCCATTATACATTATATCTTGAGCATTTGTTTCCCCTTATTGCCAAGTACCTTAGAAAAAAACATTGAAGATCAGAGTTGTAAACACCCCCACCCTCTACCCTACCTCCAAAATGAGGAGGATATTTTTATCATTCAATTTCTTGATTTTCATTCAACCCAATCTACCCCATTAACATTGATGAGGAAATTCCTTGCAAAAATGTACTTTAAATACTTCTTACTGAAATGTTTCACCCTTCCTTTTAATTCTTTTAAGCAAACCAGTTCTTGGTTTATTGTAATGAAGTTAAAAACAGCTAAATATACATATACATATAAAAATACATCCTGAAAATAAACTAATTCAATTGTTAATCAAAAAGCTGAAGGAAATGGTATTTTCAAAGAGCTAAAATATCATATATCATTACAATGTACCAATATCCAAATTTAATCTGTATAAAAACTATCATTAAATGGTAAATTAGATGTATTTATATTTAACAAAAATGCCCCCCAAAAAATTTAATGAAGTTTTATAAGATTGAAGTGATCAGTGCTTTAATTTTTGTGGAAAATTCCTAGACTTACTACAGATTTTCCAAAGGTTTCGTTTTCTAAAATTCAATAATTTACATGCAGAATATACCCATGTTTCAACAAATTCTGGATCCAAACCTAAGGCCAAAAAATACATTTTGTGTTTCAAGTAACCCTAACTACAGATAATTGTTTTTAGGCAATTTCAAAGAAGTATTTTTAAAGTCAAGATTACTCGGTTATATAAACCCCAAAAAACATTTCTAAAAATTAAATTTGTTACCTACCTCCCCTAAATTTTTCAAAAATGTTACAGGAAACAAACTTTTAACTTACTTGTTTTTTGTTTGGCATAATAATAGATCTTATCGTAAAACCATCGGTGTTACATCATATGAATTATCAGATTGAATGTGTAAACTAATAGTTTCACTACCACACTAAACGTACAGATCACACTATTCAATAGGATTCGTGTAATGTGGAGTTTGATTGACTTTACAACTTCACCTCATCTCCGTTACCGACTGTAAATATGACCGCCTGCTGTTCATACCGAGCCAGAATATCTCAAAATAGATACCTATGCCCTGTAGAACCTTCAGTACCATCGGAAACTTTTCATTAGGTTTTGTTTCACTGAAATATGACATATCTCCTATGTGTTGAATTGTATCAGTTTCACTAGGAAGAATAAACAAACAATACTTGCCTCTGACCGCTGATACAGTAGCAGCTGTGAGAATCTCACTGCGGCTCAGTTCCAGACTCCTCCATGATGGATGTTGTACCTCGTTACTGCAGCTCTCTCGTGATGGATTTTATATTAAAACCATAAACGTATCTCCACCATATGGCTATTTCCAAGATATTACTTCCATGCTGGGTAAAAAAGGATGAGAATCCAAATCAGATTTTAGTTTCAATAATGTATGTGTAACATTGTAGCAATTCTTCTTGGAATAAAAACTTGTTTTGAAGTTATGTAAAAGTGAAAGGTTAATTGATCACATTCTGCTTTTCTATCTCCATTAACTACACCAACAAACTGTATGACACTGGGGAGCACCTGTTACAGACACACGAATGTCGGTCTCGAATTGTGAAAATTAAACGCATTCACTGGACGAATTAATATATGACCTTTAGCAGTATACAGCGTTGCATTGATTGATAGCAGCCAACACACTCTGGTTGTAGCCCCAAGATACTGATTTACCAATGCTTCAGTGTATTAATACTTCTGTCAGCCTCTGTGTATGTAACTGACCTGTATTTAATTCTGTGTGGTATGGATGTACCAATTTGTCTCTGGTATTTGTATAACAAGGTAACAATTAGGTGGCGTTAGAAATGACTGATGCAGCAAGATTCAGAGGCTGTTAGCACTAATGGTTACATATTGTAGCAGTTAAATGTTCAAGTCAGCTAATCAGAGCCTCTCAGATTTTCTGGTGGTACTGGTGAAGTGACAAGTGCTCAACAATTAAATAGTCTCCAGGTTTACTCAGTTCTTACTTGAACAGGTTAGGATTATACAGGGGAGACAGTGTATTATTAGTCTCCAGGTTTACTCAGTTCCTACTTGAACAGGT